ATGTTAGACTAACCTTTGTTAAAGGACACTGCTTAAAAAGTTTTTAAAACCAAAATACTTATATAAAATATCATATTTAGTATTGGAACTCAGAGTAAGACAACACCTTTTCACATCGATTTCTTGTAATAATAAAAAGGCATTTATTCTCATGAGAGTTGTAATTTTAAAAAAGATGAAAAAAAAATTAATAAAATTAAATATAGCAGCTGTAAAAAATGGTAAAAACGTGAGGAAAAAAAACACCAAAAAATTTCCCGTAAGTTTAAAGTTGTAGTTGTAAGTAATGCAATGATACGGTGAGCCCAGTAAAAAAGTTCGAGACAAAAGATTTAGGGAGATCTTACTTAAGATTAGGGAGAACCAATTAAAGGAGAAAATAAACACAAGCTAGGGTCAGAGACAAGACAAGTTAAAAAGTAAATGTAAGTAGGCTTGGACTGGGCCGCTGGGATACCAAGAGATTTCCGGCGGGCCAGTCGCCATAAAAAAATTTATACTTTTAGTAAGACTACATTTTATTTTCCGTTGATTATTATAATCAACGGTAAAACAACTTCAATAAAGCCTCAGATTAACCAACGTTCATTAGTGGGTGTAACAAATTCCAAATATATGTCAAAGAATATCAGAATCTGAAAGCAGTGCACTCCATGCAGCCGGCACAGAGTCATAAGTTTTAAAAATCAATGCTAAAGATATTTTAAACATTTATACGAGCCGAATAGGTTAAAATGAATCGTTTAATTTTAGAAAAAATCATAGAAACTTTAAAAGTTGATGTTAAGATTGGACTTACCAACAACTTTTAAAGTATGGATACAGACTGCTTGATGGTAGTGTAGAACATGGGATTTTTTCGAAGATTCTTTTGCTTATTTGCAAATTATATCTATTGTTGGAAGCACATAATAAAGAGTTGGTTCAAAAAAGCAAACCCTTGGCATGATTCAGTTGGCAACAGAAGAGGCTGTGGCGAGTTAGATTTTTTCCTGTCAAAAATAACTGTTAATAAAGTCATTGATGCAATAACAACATCTTTAAATAGCATGATGTAGGAAAGGATTAGAGACGGGGGCATGTTTATTGTTCAAAATGATACCACACAAGATAATAATGTACAGGATCAGTGTTCTATTGTAATCTGATATGTAGCTGAAGCTGTATATAAACGTGTAATATCGATAGTCAATTGCATATCAAAAATTGGAAAAGGAATGTAGGATTTCGGTTGTGGCGTTTTTAAATTGTTGCCACCGATTTAGCCTCCAATAGGGCCCTAAGGGTCAGTTCAATGGGTTCAATACCTTGTTAAATACAGTTTTCCCAGGTCAGATTCATGTGTGGCGTTATACCCATGTCTTGAATATGATAAAGGGTGACGTTACTAAAAAGGAGGTTGAAGTTGTTACCTTGTTTGGCATCTTGAACTCATTTGCAGTACTTTTACGGAAATCATATTTACGCTTCAATATTTAGCGTGTAGTTAGCAAATTGAAATATATATCTGTAATCGATGAAACCAACCAACATGAAAGTGCAAAAGATAAATTACTTGTCAATGTTAACAACATGGTAATGGATCAAGTTATCAGTTGTTTAAAACTGAGCATGGTAGTCTATATGTTAGTTTACCTTTTTTAGATCCAAGAATTTAAAAAAAAAAATTTGAAAAAAATGTAGGCCGTTGTGATCAAATATCCCCGGCCGTATTTTTAGCCAGTCCGACTCTGAATGTAAGTTGTCTGGAAAACAAGTCATAATGTATCTGAGTATAAAATTAAGAAACACACACACGCACACACACGTAAATATATATATATATTTATATATTAATTGTTAATATCAATATTACTGATGTAACAACAACAGAAATAATTACTGATATCCATTCATTTTGCGATGCCACTGATGCGGTATTATTTTTATAATACATTGTTTAACCCAGCTAAGATTGAAGTTGGTAGAATAAAATATTAGGCTCATATATATTATTACAATTTCTTTTTTAAATTTTTTTGTTCTTTCTTTAAATGTTTTACAATATTAGTCGTTTTACAATCATAACAATTTCAATAACATAATAGAATGATTACAAGATTAATCAAGTTTGCAAGAGGAAGAACGCGGAATCTCGTAGAAGACCTTAAGGTCTTGTCTTTGAGAAACGCATTGATTTTCAACTACATCGTTGTGCTAAACATGTATATTCTCGTCGAAAAGTAAAAATAAATAAACGTAATATAGATATTCTAGTATATTTTTATTTACACCACAACATGCAATATTAGCATAAATAATACGGCAATGGATAAATGAGTAATATAATTGAATTAAAGTGTATTTACATAAAAACGTTCTTGATTTGTATAGCATTCCTATACTTCTAGCAACTTTATTGTTTAGATTATTAACATAATTTTTCCATGTGAGGTTTTCATCAATGCAAACACCGAAGAAACTGGTAACTTTAGATCTCTTTATTTTAGTATTATCAATATAAAAGGAAGGTATAATCGAAAGTAAATCTTTTTTAAAGCTGGGTAAAAGAGGATCCATCTAGTTTTTTCGATATTTATTGATAGTTGGTTTGACCTGAACCAGTTAGAGATTTTAATGAGTTCACTATTTATTTTGTAAAATACTGTTGGTTAGTCAGTTAGAAAAAGATTTTTGTCATCGGCAGATATAACTGTTGTTAAATTTGATGCTTTATAGTGATCAATAATATAAATTAAAAAAAGCAAAGATCCTAGTTTCGATCCTTGTGGAACTCCATATGACAAATTTTATTAATTTGATAATTTAACAAATTATTTCTAATTTTTTAAATAGTTTTTTATAATAATAATTCATTCCCTGCGATTCCAGAGAGTTGTAGTTTTTTTTAAAAAGAATTTCGTGATCAATAGTATCAAAGGCTTTTGATAAATCTATGAAGATGCCTAGAGTATATTGTGGTTTTTCAAATGAACTTGCAATACTTCTATTAAGTTGAAGTATTACATGTTTAGTAGAATTATCATTTTTGAATCCAAAATAATTGTTGTATAATAATTTGTTTATAGTTTGATGGTTATATATTCTGTTATACAGAATTCTTTCCAAAACTTTTGAAAAAACATTACCAAAGGCTTGGCATGAGCAAATTGATCCTTGAAATTAATGAGGCGTGCAACATGTTTTTGTTGATGATATAAAAATTTGATTTTTTTTTAATTAGTACTACGTCCCGCAATGTGGGGTTTTGTGATTCTTTTGGGTCTTTTGTTATATTACTTTATATTACGGGGATATATATACTTAGTCTACAAAGTTATGAGCTATAGTGCCAGTTTAGTCAGTGGCGCTAGAGCCAAAACATTCCATGTGATGGATATTAAAACTACAAACAATAAAAATGAAGCCAGGTAGATAAAGGAAAAAGACTCGGTCAATTTGATCAAAAATGAGATCAAAAAGTCTTTAAAAAGAGAAGAACTATTAAACTAACAAAGTGAAAGGTGATAACTAACAAAGGTGATAACTAACAAAAGGTTATAACTAACAAAGTGAAACGTGATTGAGTGAAGTGATTCTAAACAGAAGCTCATAAATAAGTGCTCAGAGGATTCAAGTTTGAGTTTTTCTCAGTCCGGCTGTAAACTCAAAGTTGAAACTATTGTCTTGAAAAAGCATACCAAAGCCATTATTAGAGGCATTACCCATTCGCAGTACAGCATTGTCAAAACTTTTATATTTTACAGCTGTTGATGTAATCAGTCTTTGTAAAAGCTATCACAGATTTTAGATTACCTTATACTAGCTGAATTAAAATTAGTCTTGCAAAAAGCAACCAATAAGAAGTTATTATAGTTTTAAATTTCAATGCTTTAGTTTTTTTAACTCAAAAAAATGACTTAATTAACAAGAATTTTATTTGTTGCAGAAAAATTTTGCCAATGTCTCTAGTTCAATGACAAATGATCCTTGTTATATTTTTCATGAAGTATTACAAAAATTATTTAAAATGATTGCCCAAAACTAATAACGCTTGATACTCTAATACTAAACAGTCTATAAATAAATTAATCAGATCAAAAAACAAATAAATAAATGGAATATTTAACAGAAAAGGTAAAGTTTTAATTAGGAAATGGTATTTATCTATATGTTAAAAAATTACACATATTTTGGAATTTTTTTTTGACATTTTGTTTACTTTTGTTTTTTTTAAGAATCAAAAGCAATTAACTATTTATTCTAATCACGTAAGTGACTAGAAAATTGTTTTTAATTTTGAATTTTAATGGCTATCAGAAAATTCAAATTGCTCCTAAGTTACGAATGATTTGGAGACTCTGATAGTTATTTAATGCCTGTGCATTATTTGAAAAATACAGTAGTAAGTTTCAAATAAAATATTTAATGTTCAAAACAATAATTTAATGATTAAAGTGAAATTTTTTCATTTATCTTTATTTTTATT